CCGATATCTAATACTTGCACAGATTACCCAAAACAATGCAAAAACCTGAAAGTATGAAAAATTGATTTCTAACTAAAACCGTTTTCAACACGTTGTACCAACGATGAATTTTATCATATCATTAAAAGATGTTCTACAGCCTGGCTTGTGATTAATGAAAATGAAATTAATTCTCAATCAACTAATTGCATAGGTATATAACCCATCCAAAATATTATTATATTAACTAACGAGTTTAACAATATAAACAATGGTCAAGTTTTTGGTTTGTAGAATTTTCTTTTCGTCTATCTTTAAAGTCGTCAATAAAAATAATCAACATTACATAAATTGTTATTTATTTCCTTAACCAGTGGGTGGTTTACTAATACATATTTCGCTCGTCAATTTTACGATGAGGTAGAAGTGGAAGCTTTAATAACTTGACATTAAATAGGAATATCCTGTTAATTTTTATTGAGGGGAAAGACCAGACTTCTAAGAAGTAAAAATACCTAAAATGGTTTCATCAAAATTTTCCGGATAGTTTTCGTGTGATTCACAGACATCGATGGACTTAGCGATTTCAATGTACACGATGAAATTAAAAATATTGTTTGTGTCATTGAGACTGACCCAAATTAGTATGTATCATTCATTATCAATAAGCACACTGGAAAATTTCTACTCGAAAACTTGACATTTGTTCTCCGCACTTTACCATTATATTATTATTTTTATTTGTTTATTATCGCCAATAAATAAACAAACCGTCCGGTAAACAATTATCAATACATACATCAGTGTGTTGCCCTCGGTTACAAAAATAATAAAACATTTAAAAATAAGCGTCTTATCGGTGAAATTTTGAAATTTCTAAATATAGCCCCTATACCATTCCATACATCAATTAATTAAGACGATTACATTATTAATGAAAATTAAAATATAAACAATTCCTTGTAATGTTGTAAAACGCAACAGTATGGTCTCTATTCTTCACGGCTAACCGCAAAATAACGATAACTACAGAACACAAAAAACCGTAACTATTAGTAATCTAATCGTAGATAGATTGCTGACGAAGCATTTTAATGCTGGAACCAATTTGGTTTCTTTTTTATCATAATTATTACTCTTATTCACGTCCGGGGTTTCGTTTATGATGAAACTCGAAGGTAGCAAACTACGTAAACAAACACACCCACAATTGTTTCGATAAAGGATCCGATCCTAATATGCATCAGGGACAAGATAAGATCTATTATTACTTATTATCCGAAATCTCTACTAATCAAACCCTATTTCAACTATTTAGGGTTTTGAGATATTAGTAGTAGAACAAACTTTTAATTTTTTGAAACGACGCATCGGATTTTTTCCCAAATGCTCACGTTGGGATTCGATCCGACAACCCTTGGGTTAGCAGCCGATCACGCTATCCACCTGGCCAATTCAGGCTTTTATAAATATTATTATACGAAGTGTTATTTTGCGGCCGATTTCAAAACGTGAACATTAACAATAACAAAAACACTGATAGATGGTTTTTATTTATTGTGTACTTGCTAGCTGTAGTATTTGCTGCAATATCAATAGTATTTTGATGAATTGTGAAAGATCAAAGTGTGACGCATGGGAACGCCTTTCATACGTATATATTACAACATAACAAGCCCCCGTAACATATTTAGTTTCACTTGAAAAACAATAATTACTGAATTATATGCCAGAACTTGATTGGTACGAAAAACGAGAAAGGGAAATTTGATATGACTTTTTGCGTTGCCCAGCTTTTTTAATCGATTACCTTCAGTTAATATTAATACTCTTTATTTCTGTTTGGGCATACAAATTTGCTTTATTTACGGAATTATTACATATCAATAATCATTACTCTTGACCTCGCTTAAATCTGTAAGATTTTGGCCCTTGTATTTTGGAACTCTTTTGTAATTTAACGTCGTTATGTAGGACAATTTAAGATAATCGACACAAAAGATTGCAATTACTTTAGTAGCTCTAAATATTACAACAAACAATAAAATAAAATCTGAATTTAAGTCATTTGTAGCTTTGTAAACCCAAAAAATGTGAAGTAGATAATTTGTACTGGACAAAGCGATCTACCTCTTAAAGTAAGAACCAAAGAACATATTACGAAAACAGTATTAGAAATCAAATCAACGTTTAGGTTGGATCATGTTGTTCGGAGAAACTAGTTTAATGTTTTCTTTCACAATTCCTTTGGAATGCTGTACACGTTTGTTATTATGTTGGAAATTTCACAATGATCGACATTCTCGGTCACTGTCAGTGTAAGACCTGCAAACATGAAAATATATTCGCAAAATGACTAGAACAAACACTCGTCTTGGAGAATAATTTACATCATCAGGAGAAAACATTTGCAACCGCAAACAATTTTCCCAATATATTACACAAATTTGCTTGCAAAAAAGGACTAGCAAAACAAACAACAGAACGTTATTTTCTTTAAGACGATCTGCTCGTCATGGAGATCGTTATCAATTTATTTATCACTCTTTATTTACCTATTTTTAGAATTAAATGAAGAAAACAGAAACAGTACCTAATAACAGCCTAAAGATACTTAAAATTTCCATGAACAAAATTGAAATAGTTTAGGACCTCTTTCAGTGTTTACAAACAACAATTTTTTATGAAGAATGTAATTAAGTTGAATCCTGCTAGTTGGCATCGTATTCTACTATTTAAATTTAGCAGAAACACCTCCTACTTGCCTACTACAATGTAGGCAGTTTAGAGACAATAGAGGTGCTTAATCACACCGGTACATCCCCCGCATTTTGACGTTTAAGGGGATGACAAATGTAAGGATGTTGCGAGATACCTTCCGAATAAAGGGAGATGCATACATAAAGAAAAGCATAATTTACGTAAATACTATTTTATATTTCTTGAGTCTCGGAATCATTATTAACTTAGAAATACTAAATTTAGCATAAACCATTTACGAAAACATTCCCCAAAGTATTGTTTTGGTTTCATTAAAGATTATTTTATATTCAAAATTCTTTAAACTTCTAACAACATGTAAACAATTTGTTTACAATAAACACTAGCAAAATATTTCGCAATAGCTTTTGTAATAATTGTAATTTTTAAACTGTAACACGTAACTATTAACTACAAAAAGTAGAAATGTGGGTCAAACAATCGTGAATACCAAAGGAAATATTTGCATCTTCACCTCAAATTAAAGAATTAGATGTGGCAAGATATTCTATACTTCTAGAGAAGATTTTTAGTTCAATATACAATTATTGACTCATGATTAAGGATATTATTAAGCAGAATTGTTTTAGGTATTAGCGTGCGAAGAAATTTTGAGATTTTAGCGAAGATTAACACTTGAAATTAATGCTAGGAATTTAAAGGATTAAGTGTAGCAAGGATTTCTAGGCTTCCAAAGAAGAACATCGCCTAGGATTAAAGGTATTTTTTGAAGTGTTAAGTGCGAAAAGATATTGTGTGCTTGTACAGTATCTTAACACTTGAAATGAAAGATAAAAATTAAACGGTTAAGTGTAGCAAGAATTTTTAAGCTTCTAAAGAAGATTATGACCTAGGGTTATAGGTATTCTTTAATGTGTTAAGTGTGCAAATGTATCCTAGAGTTGTACAATTAATTAAAGGATTTCTAAGATTATGAGGACGACCAACACCTGAAATAAAAAGCAAATTTAAAGGGATTAATTGTAGCAAGGATTTCTAAGCTTTTAAGGAAGATTATCACTTAGGATTAATGGTCTTTTTTGAAAGTGTTAATTGCAAGAAGATATTGTGTACTTGTAGAGTAGATTAACACTTGAAATAAAAGATAACAATTAAGGGTTAAGTGTAGCAAGAATTTCTAAGCTTCTAAAGAAGATTATCACTAAGGATTAAAGGTATTCCTTAATGTGTTAAGTGTGCAAATGTATCCTAGACTTGTACAATTAACTAAAGGATTTCTAGGCTTACGAAAACGACTAATACTTGAAATAAAAAGAAAATTTAAAGGATTAAGTGTTGCAAGGATTTCTAGGCTTCCAAAGAAGAACATCGCCTAGGGTTAAAGGTATTTTTTGAAGTGTTAAGTGCGAAAAGATATTGTGTGCTTGTACAGTATCTTAACACTTGAAATGAAAGATAACAACTAAACGGTTAAGTGTAGCAAGAATTTCGAAGCTTCTAAAGAAGATTATCACTAAGGATTAAAGGTATTCCTTAATGTGTTAAGTGTGCAAATGTATCCTAGACTTGTACAATTAACTAAAGGATTTCTAGGCTTACGAAAACGACTAATACTTGAAATAAAAAGAAAATTTAAAGGATTAAGTGTAGCAAGGATTTCTAGGCTTCCAAAGAAGAACATCGCCTAGGGTTAAAGGTATTTTTTGAAGTGTTAAGTGCGAAAAGATATTGTGTGCTTGTACAGTATCTTAACACTTGAAATGAAAGATAACAACTAAACGGTTAAGTGTAGCAATAATTTCGAAGCTTCTAAAGAAGATTATCACTAAGGATTAAAGGTATTCCTTAATGTGTTAAGTGTGCAAATGTATCCTAGACTTGTACAATTAACTAAAGGATTTTGTAGGCTTACGAGGACGACTAACACTTGAAATAAAAACCAAATTTAAAGAAATTAATTGTAGCAAGGATTTCTAAGCTTTTAAAGAAAATTATCACTTAGGATTAATGGCATTTTTTTAAGTCTTTAAAGAACATTCTTGTCAATGTGAATGTAACTGAACACTGTAAAGATTGGCATTTATCGCATAGCCTCTTAGTACTTAGTGCAACAACCGCGGTGCCAGTTCAGGTCGCAAAAATAAACAGTGGAGCAGTAGTAACAATAACCAGCAGTAATAACAATAAAAATAATAATAAATACTCGTCATCGTGTTATCAGGCTTTCGATTCGATTTCGTCGTAAGTAATATATACTATTATCGACAGAGCGAGGGGAATGGGATGTACTATCAATTGCGGGCTGGCTTTGGTTGGGTACCGCGCGGTCCGCGCGGTTCGGGCGTCGCGTCGCTGGCCGTCCCGACGACGACGGCGATCGCTTCTACCAACTACATACACATCGCTTCCAGCACCTACTTACACTTGGAGTCGCCGTATTAAACATTTAGTAAGCGCGCAACCGTCGAGAAGTGCACATGAACGGAATGTGTAGTCAAAGAGGAGAAAACTTAAGCCAGTGTTGCGAAGAAGTATTTCGAGTCGAGACACGGACGTTTCTCCAACAACAATAGTAATAAAAATTAGAAAAAAAAGTTAAAAGTTGAAGATCAATTGTTCGTTTTTCAAGTGTTTCAATTGTTTCAATCGTGCAGCGACACAACAACAATAAAAACTGAAAGTGTTTTATTACAACAGTTTAGTTTTTGTTTCTTGAAACAATTGGCGATCGAAAAAAAAAAAAATAATTGTTGTTAAACATGTCAGTGTGCAGTAAGAGAAAGTTTGCAGTGGAAGCTGCCGCTGCTCGAACGCTACCATTTGGTGACGGACTATTAAGGAATTAAATACACAACAAAGAATTTCATTTCAAGAACGTTAAAAATTAGATGTAAGTAAAATTAAATAAAAATAAATCCTCAGAACAAAAACTAGAACAACAATGACAAAGACAGAGTGAATAGGTACAAATTTCCTTTGTACTTATTCCTGAAGTTTAAAGGATTCGTTGTCCTTCACGATATATATCAGGACATTTTAAATAAACTTTTAATTCTTATGAAACTTTTTTGAAACAAAGTACCTCTCAACTATCCATACATATATAGAACGTTAATTTATGGTCGCAATACGTTAATTTATTTAAAAAACCACATTGAGTTGCCACAGTCCAAGTATACTCTACACATACGTATAATTATGTGATTTCAATATTCAAAAGGTCAAACTCGTACGTTCTCACTTCGTAATGAGATGCCTGCCTCCAACAGGTAGTTTCTCACATTGGAAAATTCTAAGGCGAAATTATTTATTCATTTATTAATAATAAACGGGCGTGATATATATATATATAGAGAACGAAAAAAAGTAAAATTGAAAATATGAAACGCGATAACTTCTCGATAATATTATATAGAGTAAGTAATAAAAACCGAACAGGAAAAACTTGGTCATTAGAGATCGTGAAAGAACGAGAACAACATCGGGGAAATACCCCATAATTGCAATGGAAATATTTATTGATTGATATTCTAAATATATTCTAACATTAATTTGAATCTATTAGTCATTTGTTGTTGTGGGAGTCATAGCTATCAGAATATGTTACGAAAAATTGAAAATATTCAAGGAAATGACATATACTACTGTAAAATTTCTACCAGATCTTTTCTGTTGTTTCGATTGGGATCTAAAGGTCGTCGTTGGTCCTTATTACTTCCAGAGGTCCGACGCTGGGTGTGGACAGGACTACCACCATCCAGCAAGGACCTCTGAAGCACCTTACCACTCCTGCTAGCAGTTCACCACCTGATCGTGAAAACTTTTCCAATTAGTCATATCGTTTTTATTTATTATTACATCATTGACTACAATTTTGGTTTTCTTTTTGTTACAGGTAATATCCCATGGCAACGGATCAACATTGGGCAGTAACGGTGGGCTTGGTATCGTCTTCAGTAATCGCCGTCACAGCCAATTTGATCCTGCTCCTCGTCTTCTGTAGGAGAAGGGGACTGAGATCGATTTCCAACAGGTAATTTGGATCACAAAGATACTCATTTGACCACAAACATTTCAATTTGATTTTCACTATTCTGTGTCCATGGTATTTGTAAATCATTCTAGTGTAGTGAATCTGTGTTATCATTTTCATCTAATGTTGCAGTGTTTAATACAAAAATTAAAAAAAATAAATACAGACCCAGTTATGTGATATGTCGTTCTTTATATCTAATAATGTTGGTTTACATTTGTTGATTTCATCAAATTCATCGGAATTATCATATTTAATTAGAGTATTTCTTATTGATGAATGTGGAATCGAGTTATTAAAATACCTGTAAGTAATTCGTTGATCTTAGAGGTCGGCTATGTAGCAATTCAAAGAAAAATTTTAGACGTTTGTTTTAATCTATTAACGTAACATTTCTTTCAATAAAATTGAAATATTCCTACCAAATTTCGGTCTCGAATTAAGGAACAAAATCGACTGTGACGTTACACATTTCACTGGTTTGGCAGCTTACCTTTAGTTTATATAATCAATCGAAATAAATGTATTTCAATAATATAAGCGATAAATATTGGATTAGTCCGTTACATTTCGATTTACTTATAGACAAATCAATTCTGGGTATGACTCTTTTCTATTATTAAGCATTGTAAGTAGTAAAATACAAAAGTTTGTCTTGTAAAAGCGAGCTTTTTTTGAAAACAAAGACATTCTAGGCCATTTACCTATGTAAAGCATTGAATGAAACGTTGGTGCAACATTTGGGCATAGTTTAATAATAATTTCATTAAAAAAACCATTTACTCTATGCGACCTTTTCAAAATAAGTTCGTTCTTAATTTGTGTAAGTGTTTGAGAATTTTATCCCTGTCCTACCCCCATAGATACACCGGGATGAATCATGGCGTAAAACCTTTGCCAAAATATAAACTTTTTAGTAAAAGAAGAATTTTGAAAATCCGACTTGTAGTTCCGGAGTTAACCCCGAACATACAAACAAAAAAGCTTTACCTTTTTATAAAAACGTAGGCTTGAGTGTGATTGTAGCCTTGCACTGGCGCTAAAATAAACATGAAAAAGAGAAACGCAGTATTTTGATCGTTATCGAACGTAATACACACTTACTTATTAGTTAATCAAACTTGCAGTGCACTTGACCTTATCAATATTTACAATTCTTGGTAATAAATATGCATAGGTACAGTAATTTTTTAATCATTAGTATACCTACACAAGTAAATAACAACCGCTCAGCCGATTTTGATTTGATTAAACTGCGTACATAAAAACACAATAAGTAAATAAGTATTAACTTTCAATTTACTTTTTAACCTGTCTGTCCCATCAGAGTGGTGTATGGGTATCGAACAAATAATAGATTATTAAGAGATTCCTTGAAATAGTTTCAGGTAGTCGACGGTCTCTTGTGCTATTAGTAAATTACGTCAGCGTGACTAATTGAGTAACCCGGACACTAGAAATTGTCTATTATTATAAGAACTGAAGCAACACACTTTAAGGCTGTCTTATAATGTTGTGTCAGTGAAAAGTCGTTATTTCTTCTATCACAGCGGTGGTTTTGTCATCATCATAAGGTCGTCAGTCCTAAGACTGGTTGGACACGTACCTCCACTCTTTCCTGTCCTGAGCTAAATTTCACATTTCCCTAAAACTAGAACAGCCCACATCCTTAACTATTTGCGAACAGTAATCTAATCTAGGTCTTTCTCTACTCCTTTTAACTCCTGTTTCTGCCTCTAATATGTCTCTTATGTCCTACCAACCTATCTCGCCTATTTTTTATTGACTTCCATAGAGTCCTCTGTTCTCCTATTCTTTCTAATACCTCTTCATTTTTAACCTTTTCTACCCACGATATCCTCGTCATCCGCCTATAACACCACATTTCGAACGCTTCTAACCTTTTCTTTTTCGCCGCGCCCACTGTCCATGTTTCGCACCCGTACAACGCCGTGCCCCAAACATACACCTTTAACAACAAGGTGGTTTTAATAAAACATTTTTTTTTTAAATAAAGCTAGACATTTTACGTGCACCATTTTCCGAGGCCGGTGGTGCCCAAGAGCTAAAATAGAGTTAGATCTTTCACAGCGACATTTTCTACTAATGTGGCTGCAGTTCTATTTGCAGCGACTAACGAAACGACTAATTCAGTTGATCTAACAAGGGGTTATTGTTTTATTTCGTCGACCAAAAATAAACCTACATGAGATACCTACGGACACGGAAGGCCACCAAATTTTGACGCATTTTGGGCATAGAAGAACAGAAAATTTGCGCGCCGCCGCTGTTTCTCATTAACTTCCAACCGCTGTATAACTAACTATGCACAATATTATGTTAGCCAACTGGATTGTAAAATCCGTTTCATAATAACGGTTACGTGTGAGCTACAGATACGTTCGTAAGTAAGTAGGTACATACTAAAGCAATTTCGTAATACCGTTCTTTAGGCCAAAACACAACGGACAAAGAATTGTTTTAGTGGCAATAAAAGTCATACAGTAGTAATTGTTATTATTAGTGTTACACCATGAGTCACGCACCGCCGTTTCAAAAACTAGCGAACCATTGTTGTGTTTGCCCGCCGCCATCAAAGAACAATTGAATATACGGAAACTACTGGCTGACCTCTAATAATATCGTAATAGTAATAGTCCTTGATTCCTTCATCATCATAAGGTCGTCAGTCATTTCCCTAAAACTAGAACATGCCACATCTTTAATTATTTGCGAACAGTAATCTAATCTAGGTCTACCCCTACTCCTCTTAACTCCTGTTTTTGGGTCTAATATGTCTTTGACTAGACCTTCATGCATGAGAAGGTGTCTAATCAACTTATCTCTCCTATTTCTTATACAGTCCTTTGTTCTCCTATTCTTTCCACTACTCCTTCCCTTTCGTCCTGACTTATCTGACTTCCTAGATACCTAAAATTCTCGATTTCCTCCCTCTCTCTCTCTATCTATTTATCTAAATGGTTGTTGTATTTTGTTACAGGTTCGTTATCAATCTTCTCTTCACGAATCTTCTGTCCAGCGTGTTCCTGATTCCGTTGTTGTTGATAGACCAGAAATTGGACAATGGAGAAAGAACTTCCTCTATGGTTCATCACGATTTCGGTTTTTCCAACAACGGGACCGGCACGTTGATAATCCAGGACAAAGAAGAGGAACTGATAGTGGACGCGGACTTCCTCAAGGATGTGGAAGAGGACGAAGGTGTTGTGAGCATAGCCACAACGATAACTGCTACAAACCAAAGCGAAACTGATAGTGATATAGTTACTACTGATAGTTTAAGTGAACAAAACGAAAGGAATGCTAGTGATATTAGAAACCAAAGCTGGCGCACGGTGTTGTGCTACTTAGCTCAAAGTTCAACCAGTCTGGTATGTACCGCGTCGATCCTGAGCATCCTACTGATCGCCATAGATCAATACTTCGCTGTGATCCATTCGTTGCGGTATCACTCGTACATCAACAAGTTCCGATCAGGAATTTTGATAGCGTCCAGTTGGCTGGTGTCCGCGATCTTCGCCGTACTGGGAGCCCTGACTGGAAACGAATCAAACATCTGGCGTTTCTGCATCAGTCACCAAACCCAATCGACGCTAAACCACGATACCAAAACAGAATTGAAGATCATCAACTCGCTTTACGCCTTCTCCTACTGCATTTTCGTGATCGTGGTGCCGTTTCTTGCCATCTGTATGATCTACATCTGCATCTATACGGCAGCCCACCAGAACAGCGAGAGGATGCGTCGGTCGACGTCTGGAACGGCGTCCATCTTGGACTCGTACATGCAGATCACCCATAACAACAAAGTGCCCAGTGATACCGGTTTGAACATGAGGAGAAACTCTCACGAAAAAGAGAAACCGGTCGTCGAACAGACTCTTCCGAAAGTTCGTTCCGCGCCCAACTTCACCGTGTTTCAGGAACAAGACGATCATCTGATGAAAAAGCAGGAGTTGGTGCCCACGTTGGTGGTGACGCACGCGAAAGTGACCCGGACTAGCAGTGAACGCCATAACTTTATCAGTTCTCTAAAGTACAAAATATCGAACGCGTCCCTCTTCAAGTACAGGGAGGAAACGCGTGCCGCCAAAATAAGCGTTTTGGTCGTTTTCATGGTTTTCGTGTGCTACATCCCGTACGGAATATCGATTGTTTTGAACAGTAGTGTGATAAACGTGAGATCGCCGAGGACTTACAACTACCTCTGCCTGATCCTTCTCATTCTTTCCAACATCATCTCGCCATTCCTGTTCGCCTATCGCAACAAAAGAATCCAACGCGAACTGAAAAAGTTCTTCAAGATCTCCAAGCCGAAGACCAAAATAGACATCCTGAAGGACACGTTGAAGCGTAGCAGCTTGAAGCGCTCGTCCATCTTGAGCTTCCGCCAGAACAGGAACAACCTGGACGACATATGCGAGGACAACGAGAACAAGACGTTTCTCCAAGGGGGCGGCGTGGTGCCCGAGGTGGTGGTGACGTGCAAGATCGAGAGTGAAAAAAACGAAAGACGTAGCATCCTGAAGAGGGTTTGTAGCGGGCAAAACTGGACGGGATGCAAGAAATGCACATTCATCACATTGCCCGAAAGTTGTCTCGGAACCGAGAGCGCTAGGGGTAGTTTCTCGAGCACCAGCACGCAAATGTCGTCTGAAGAATGAAAAATACTTAACGCGCTGGCCATAACTAATAACATTTGGCGTTTCAAAGCGGCCACAGCACAATGCGATTGTGGACAGGTCATCAATGCAATGTTCATACCGGAAACTGAACCAATTCCATAATTTTTTGTCGATATCCAAAGCTCTCTAATACGATCAAAATCGAAGTAGCAATTTACATGGGAGATTATGTTATGTTTTCTCGTCTGCGAAACCCGGAAAAATCATTCTTTAGGGGTGGGAATATGGTAAAAATTTAGGGACGAAAAAAATGACAAAATATCATTCTGTATTAATATTCACTTTTGGTGTACCATCCTCGCGAAACCGTAAACCTATTCCTTACTTGGTTGTTGTTATTATTTTTGACACACCCCCGTAAAACATCAGGGTGTTGCCATTGCAACGGTTACAGAAGCGTCGTCTGTGTACACTAAAGCCTAGGGAGACAGACGCAGACTTGCAATTTATTTATCATTCGCGCTTAAATGTTACGTTATGGTCAGCGAATTTAATGATAAGGCACACGAATAAAAACAAATCCTGCTAACGTGCGATATTAAACAATGAATGAAAACGAAGCCACAATTTTTCTTCCAAGTGTATTTCATCTCCTAATTAGTTTAAAACGTCTTCGTGCACTTGGGGCACTCTACAACAACGTGACTGTTGTACTAACAAACGAATAATAAATTTATATTTATTACGGTAACATGTATTACAATAATAGGATTTTTTAATAATAATAATAATTAAGTGAATTTATTATGGGTGTATTAGAAAATGACCATGTTCAACCAAAACAATTGAGATGTGATAGAATTGTATTTAATGCGTTTGTAAGGTGTAAAAATTGATTATTATTAATTAATAACAATTAAGGTATTACTTCAATTAGTCCTGACAGTGACTATGTGATCGATTATGATACCTACCTACTTAATATGTGTATAGATGTACAGATATCAATTTATGAACAAAAAAGAACTGATTTTATTAACTATAGGTATTAATTAATTTATTTTTGTATTTAACTGAAACTTGTTTNATATATAAATATAAATATATTGTATGTTATCTCTATGTGATTTTTCGTCTACTTAAGTAGACAAATTTTGATTTTTTTAATAAATCAACCTGTCAATTGTGATCGCAGTGGATTTTATTTTCCCTATAAGATTGACTTCCAAAATAAAATTTTTGCCTTCGTGTCTTTAAATAATTGTAAAATTGGATGAACAAATGTTAAAATATCGTTTAGTAATTAAAAGAATAACTTACCATAAAACCGATGATGACAATCCTCATTCACAAACCCTGAAACAAAAATAAAATTGGTTACTTCCACCTGCATAATTTGTTTAATTATTGTTTATTTCGTTAATGAGCGTAATGAATTAAACTAGAAACGCTTAATAATAGACATAATTCGCCATCTGCCGGCTACGTTTTTCATTACGTCAACGAATGAAAAATAACGAAGCTTTTCTATAATCCGATATCCTGTGAATTGTCCTCTCTCACAAAGATGGCAGGACCGTATTCAAAACTATTATTTTATCTATTTTAAATAATTTTGAAACAATACCGACATATGTTTAATCGTATAATGACGAAAACTATTATGAACTTGTTAATTAACAAATAACTTACAGTAGTAATTGTAGATGGTTTTCTTGGTATATACATACGTATGCATTTGTTTCTAATAAACTTATCTAATAAATTACACCAGGATAAGATAAGACTTACAGTTTGCATTTTTGCTACTTCATCCGCGTGAATCTTTTTCTAGTTGTTTATAATAAATACACTTCGTTATGGCCAATAAACAATTAACAAACGTAATCTAAATCATGAATCATCCTCCTTCTCTTCGTGTCTATAAATTTCTACCAAAATCCATTAAATCGTTTCTAGAGTCGAGTCTCTTTAACATTATTTATTATTTCCTTATGTTAATTAATTAATAAGAATAAGGAAGCGATTTATTTTGTAACCAAACAATGAAATAATCCAAACAAACATTAATAGGCAAGCCGAAATTGTAGAGAATTAATTAATATAAAGCGGTTTCTAATTAATTTCTCCATTTGCACGATTTAGAATTAGTTTCACAACTTTTAACAGTTTTGACCTGCTAGGTATCTATCTATTTTCAAAACAATCTATCAATCACTGCAATCTCCAACTGATAAAACCACTATTTTTTAAAACAAACCCTATAAAACCCTGCACGTCGTCCTTCCCCAAGCAGTTTAGCATCAATTAAAAATGATTAAGGTCTTTCTGATTTTTGCAACTATTACTCTCATCGCAGTGGCAGTTCCTTGTAAGTATCAAATGTCTCACATATTTCAATAGAAATACCATCTTTTGACGTGACAACGTTTTATAATTCGATGGAGTTGCACGCACGAAAAAACATGACTCATGCGGCGTTACCTCGCTCTGAGGCGTTCCATTTAAGGCTTGAAGTGCAAGCGAGAGCGCGGAACGAGCGACAAAGAGGCACAATCGGCCTCCGCGTTCGGCAGCGTTCGACATCTGTCTCTCTCCTACTCGAGTGAGCGATGCGTCCGCGTGGACAGCTGCTATACAATAATACATTTCCATTTACCTCCTTCTCTATATCCATACAAAATATCTATCAAACAAATAAAATTAAAATTTTCTTTTGAAAAATGAAACCATTCCATCAGTATTTTCTTATGACGTTGTCACGTTCAACTATCGTCACTAAACCGACTTTACAGACAACCGATTTTTTTGTGTGCTTTTCTATTACATATCAGTGAACGTCGGCGATGTATCATCGGAACGCTACATCACAATATACGACACACGAGGAAAACCGGAAGTAATCGACCTTTCGGCGCCGCTGCCCGAAACCCTTGTCTCCACGTCAGACATCACCCTCTACCTATTCACCCGCAAAAACCCTTCAGAGCCAAGGCAACTGTCGTTGGACGTGAATGCAGTTGCTTCGGCAGATAACTTCGACAAATCAAAGAACAATGTCTTCATCGTCCACGGATGGACTCACAACAACCTGAGCGAAGTCAATTTAGAACTTAGGGCAGCCTATCTGCAAGTCTTGGACGTGAACGTGTTCGTGGTGGACTGGAGTGGTCCGGCAAGTAAAAGTTACATTTCTGCTTTTACCAATGTCCCGAAGATAGGTCGTCTGCTCGGGGAATTCATTGGAGAACTTCAAAACAATCTTGGACTTGACGCCTCTCAATTTTTACTCGTTGGGTACACCAGAACGCACTTTAGACTTGTTGAGAAACCTTTTTAGACAACTACCCCAATTTCAGGCACAGTCTTGGGGCTCATGTTGCTGGTTGTGCAGGTGCTGCAGCAAACGGAAACGTTGGTGTCATCGTCGGGCTTGATCCAGCCGGTCCTGGATTTTTGAGTTCAGTTACAAATAACAGACTGGACCCTACCGATGCGCAGTTCGTCCAAGCCATTCATACTCATACGGCACTGTTTGGTTATTCGAGAAATCTGGGAACGGTCGATATTAGACCAAATGGAGGTAGATCACAACCCGGATGCGATTCTGAAATCTGGTGCTCTCACTTACGTTCCTATCAACTTCTTGCGGAGTCAATTACCTCTGGAGGATTTTCCGCATGGGTTTGTGAAAACTATAGTAATTTCATCAATGGAATGTGCTATTCCAATGCCAGAACCGCTCTTGGGGGTGCCAATATTGACGTGAGGTAAAAGCAACGTTCTATAGACGCTTTGGTCTTTTGAACTATTAAATAATTTTATTGTTTCCTTTCTTTATAGCTCCAGTGGTGAGTTTTTCCTGGTAACCAACTCGGAAAGTCCATACTCACGAGGTTAAAATTAGTATTCCTTGAATTTTATTTGTACTAGAAATGTGCATTGGTACAATAAATTATCGATAAGAAAACCTCTTGGTAGTTTTCCTCATTATTGAATAATAATAATTAATTAATTAATGTTATCAGCAAGTCATAAACAATTGAGCATATGGGTCCTAAGCCAGAGTATTTCTCTTCCTGTATAATTTCTTTTCTTATTCACTAAATCCTTTTGATACTGTACACATTTTAAATGACAGAAATGTTAAATCAGAGCTATATGTCGCCATCTATTAATTACTGTTTTGATTCACACTGAATAAATAAAAAGCAATTGATGATTAATACATCCGAATGTCATGCTTTCTAAAAGCTGTTACCGTACTTTTGCTTGTCTCAGAAAGGTGACAGCATCGTCTATGCCTACATCTATTTTAATTGAAGTTGAATAACTATTAGATACAATACAATACTTGTGGAACTGAAGTGGTAGATGCACTAGGAAGTTGGGATACTTGCCCTAGGTAACCGTAGATCTAAATCCTTTTTTAACATTAAAACTATTGAAAGCAACCAATTGGAATAGGATTTATTTAAGCAGTTTGGTGGACCGTGTAGAATCACCATGTCAGATTGAATTCCAAACGCAATTACCAATTATTGGTAAAATTTGGAGGTTTTATTGTTTCTTATCGAAAGAGGGTTCATACTGACTTGTTTCTTGGTTCAGTATGAAAAGAAAATTTTATTTGGACACTAGTTCTAGTTAAGGACGTGGAATGTTCTAGTTTTAGGGAAATGAGAAGATTAGCTCAAGATAGGACGGAGTGGAGGTGCGTGTCCAACCAGTCTTGGGACTGACGACCTTATGATGATGATGACTAATTCTGGATCACCATTTTTATAAAGCACTTTAATTTGTAATGTAATAATGAATGAAATATAGCCAAAAAAAATGCATGTTGCATTATTTCTAGTTCCTACATTGTACAAATGAAATTTTCTGTTTACCCAAGCCGGAATAAATTTCATAACTTTAAACAGTTACACGTTACCAAATATCTATCTAAAATTCCAATGTCAATTCATCAATCATTTATATCACCTATTGATAAAACCGCAATTTTTCTAAACACCTATAAAAACGTTGCCATCAGCCCTTCTTCAAGCAGTTGGATATCGACGAAAAATGATGAGGGTCCTTCTGATCTTGGCGAATATCGCGTTCATCGCAGTGGCTATACCTTGTAAGTATTAAACGGTACAATTCCTTCGCAAATAAAAGCATTTGATTTTTTCAACCCTAGTAAACGTCAGTGATGCATCGATTAGACGCTTCATCACATTGTACGACGATCAAGGAAGGCCGGAGGTGTTCGATCGTCTGGCCCCGTTGCCCGAAACCTTTGTCTCCAAGTCAGATCTCACGCTGTATCTTTACACCCGCGCAAATCCCTCAACCCCCGTACGACTGCAGTTGAATGTAAACGAAGTTGCTTCCGTGCGCAATTTTGACAGATCCAAACTAAACGTTTTCGTCATACACGGTTGGACCAACAACTACCAGAGTAATTGCAATTCGGCCGTTATGCCAGCTTTCTTGCAAGCATTAGACGTAAACGTGTTCGTGGTGGACTGGAGCGGTCCAGCAGGTGGCAAATACACTTCTGCCTTTTCGAGTGTCCCAAAAGTGGGTAAACTACTTGGAACCTTCATTGAAAGTCTTCAGAGCACATTGAGACTCGGCGCCTCTCAATTTCTACTAGTGGGGTACACAATAACACACTTTAGACTTCCTCAAGAACCCTTTTAGACCATTATTTATCTAAATTTTAGGCATAGTCTTGGAGCTCACGTTGCTGGTTGTGCAGGTGCTGCAGTAAACGGAAACATTGGTATCATCGTAGGGCTCGACCCAGCTGGCCCTGGGTTCTTGAGTTCGAATACAAACAATAGATTGGACCCTACTGATGCCCAGTTCGTCCAAGCCATTCATACCAACACTTTATTGTTGGGTTATTCGGGAAATTTGGGAAACGTAGATATCAGACCCAACGGGGGTAGGAGCCAACCGGGGTGCGGCACTGACGTTACAGGATCGTGTTCTCATTCGCGTTCCTACCAATATTTTGCGGAATCCGTTGCTTCTGGAGGGTTCACTGCCTGGGCTTGTTCGAATTATAGAGAATTCAGCAGAGGAAGTTGCGAAACGAACGCTAAAACTGCTCTGGGGGGTGCCAATATTGACGTGAGGTAAGAATAAACTATTCGGGGGTCATGATCTGTTATACTGGTAAATGATTTCTATGTTTCGTTTCCTTTATAGCGCAAGTGGTGAATTCTTCTTGGAAACCAATTCTCGAAGCCCATATTCCCTGGGTTGATTATTACTTATTTGTTTATCAATTCGAGTATGCCATAAATAAATAACAATAAATAATCAATAAGAAATCTTCATATTATTTATTACTAACTTTTAATTGCATTAATAAATTACGATGACAACAAGAATGCTCTATTTGTGTATATTATTTCAAATAATACTTTTTAAATCTTATAACTTCTTTCTTTCTTCAATAAAAATACGCCTTGTTACTAACATACACCAATAAAATAACCATAATAAAGTTCCAAATACATGTAATTTCTTAAGATGTTGAGTGAACATTTGTGTGCCAAGGCCAACTTAAATGAAATAGAAATAGCAATTATTTTTTTCATATTTATCTTCGTTTTTTGGCCTTTCCGACGTTACAACAACATGTAATCAACAAATTCATTTACAGACAGAAACAAACCAAAAGTATGTACTAAAAGACTATCACAATTTTGAGTAAATACCGAAACTTTTCTAAAATCCGTCCTCTTTATATCTACACGTTTTACCCTGCTTTACCTTTAGAAATGTCGTTGATAACAATTCGTCAGTGCGCTTTTAGTTTTTTTACATTTTCGTTTATAAATCTAGTTAGCATTGCCCCTCGTACTGAATTCGCGGTGTATTTATCGATGATGTAATGCAAAAACCGCATCCTAATTAAATTTTATCGAATTATGGCTACAAGACACTTACGCAAAGTTTTGGTAATTAATGTTGTATACCTAATAACGGACTTTTTTTATATTATTACTAAATTATTATCAGACAAACGCCGCCACAGGTAATGTGCACCAATAAGGTTTAGTTGAAAAAACTTCCTCTCTTATGTGAATAAAATTGCTTTCAAGGAAATGCACCAACTTTTTCAAAAATATCACACATGAATAAATTTCAAGGAGAAACATTTAATTAAGAAATTCATAAAAAAAAGATGAAAATCTTATTGTAGGTAGTTTTTGAAAGTATCTTCGGAAGTGAACAACAGTGTCTAAAATTTTAACTCGAAAAATCTGAAAAAATAGAACTTAACAGAAAATAATTTGATTTCAGCCCATCAAAAACCTAATGGACCGAAAATTGCGACTACAAGATTGTTTATGCATTTACAAATTTTTATCCTTAAGGTTATTATTATACAAAAAATTGTTCCCAGTTTTCAGTTATCTCTAATCCAGCCCATTTCGATAGCACTATTACAATTAGTGTGATTTACAAGTTGTAATTATACAGTTTGCAATTCTCGACGTAGTTTTCCCATAATGATTAAGTAAACTTCCAGAAGATTCAATTAGATAGAGAACATGAAATTATGATAATCAAACAAATGAAAAAAGATAGAACTCTCCTTTAAGCTTCTTAAAGGTTTTCTATTTTGAAAAGGAATATACAACCCAATTGATCAACACATCTCATTCATCGATTCACTATCCTTATCATCCTGTTGTCTTCACAAAGAGTTATAGACGCGCGAGTGTATATTTCATTTGGAGATAGAAAACATTTAACAAAACCCTTAAGAAGTTTGACGAAGTAAGCATTTCAGAACCTACAAGCTTTTGGTAATTTATGTTTATAGAATTTTCAATATCACCTACTAAACTCTCACGTCAGGTCGTTAACTTGTGAATGAATGACGTGACTACACGTGATACGAGATAACACTTCCTGAATTATTAAGTAGACTACATGCACCAAAGGCATTCTCATTTTAAATGTAGGCAACAAAAATTAATATTCAGTTTGTACAACAAAATGTTGTCTACTTTTGTTAGTCCATTTCTCCATTTAAATCCAAATGTAACTGGGACATTAAAAAATAAAAAAATACCTTATCAAATACATCGCCAAGCATAGCATAATTTATTTGTTAATTTAGTTCATTTCAAAGGAGCCGGCCCCATTTTGAAAACAAGATAGCGATATAGGTTGGTAGGACACCTTCTCAGGCACGAGGCAGAAGCAGGTGTTAAGAGGAGTAGAGGCAGATCTAGATTAGATTACTGTTGGATCTTTTAGGAAAACGCAAAGATTACCTCGGGATAGCAAAGAGTCTTAGGACTGACGACCTTATGATGACGACAATAAAAACTAAAATATGTATCAAGAATAGGACGAGGGCCAATAACAATATTCCTTGATAATAGTATCAGATAATAGTGCATAGTACAATTAAATTTAGTTGCAGTACATTACATTTTTGTGGAACTAATTGAAATATACGTGTAACAGATTGAAAGAACAACTTCTTTTCAGAAATTATTTCATGAGGTAATGGAACGAAATCAAAAATTATAATTATGGAGCAAGACCCATTACCAAATCGGCAGTTAACCGAACAAAAACGCCAATTGGACAATTGGTCCCATTACTTCTTCTTATCAGAGAAACTAGATTAACTTTACAAAAATAAAATTGCTGTTATCACAAAACAGGCAAACAACGAATTGCTACATTCCGTAAAGTGAAAAATACCTAGGCACAACAAGGCTTTTCAACATATTAAGTCAAGCAGCAAGTTAAATCGTAAATTGTGTTTATTTATTTATCAAATTGAGTTAACAATTTGACAAATAAGATGTTTTTTCATTTTCTTTTTATATTTTTACGCACTAATTGAACTACGTTAAGTGCAAGTAACTCTATAATCTAATCGAGGATTTATATACATATTAATCATTTACCAACAGCAAAAGTGTCCGATTTGACAAAAAAGTAAAGATATCTTTTGATTGAATGGTGATCAGATTATGCAGAAACGTTTTCGATAAATAATTATAGCAAAATATTATAAAATACCGAAGTTAACAATAGCTACAATAAAATAACTATAATGGTACGATCGTCGTCAGTCCTAAGACTGGTTGGACACGTACCTGCACTCTTTCCTATCCTGAGCTAAACTTCGCATTACCCTAAAACTAGAACAGCCCACACCCTTAACTATTTGCGAACAGTAATCTAATCTAGGTCTACCTCTACCCCTCCTAACTCCTGTTTCTGCCTCTAATATGTCTCTGACTAGACCTTCATGCCTAAGAAGGTGTCCTACCAACCTATCTCGCCTATTTTTTATTGACTTCCATAGAGTCCTCTGTTCTCCTATTCTTTCTAATACCTCTTCATTTCTAATCTTTTCTACCCACGTTATCCTCATCATCTGCCTATAACACCACATTTCGAACGCTAATTGATTATGTTAATTAAAATAAACTGGCAGCCAATATTGATAACAGAAAAGTTTTTTGCAATTCCAAACAATTTTATCATTAAAGTCACCGTAGCTTTCGTCATTTTCCTTCGTCAAGAAGTACTAAAGTGGAAGGAGAATACCCCATTCATATATACGTGGTGAAAACTAGAAAATTGCACTGACTTAATGATAATTTTGTTTGCAACGACAAGAAATATTAGTGTATCTACTAATAACAATATTTTTCAAATTTATTGATCGATTTTAAAGATTTTCAGCGTAGGTGTGGTAGATCTATGCTATAGAGAAGAAGGCACATTTTTACAACATACTGGACGTAATTACGCCTATTGGTAATAGCTCTTCCAGGAGCATTTAAAAAGCACTATATTAGAATAATTTCATGGTAATTCAACAGGCCAGACACTTGAGGCTCTCTTTGAATCGCGCTTCGCCGATTTTCAAACATTTCATTGGAAGGTGTACATTGCTCAACAACACTTCTTGTTGTCAGTCAGTTAGTAAGTGACATAGTTATGACGAAGTACAATCAGGTACAGACCGTTCCGACACAATCTATTATTGTTAATGCAACTTTTTAATTTGAACGGTCACACCACATTATCGGCCATCTCCGATGGTGGCCAGCAAAAGGCATAATAATATCGCAGTATACCATGACTTGGTGGTCAAAAACGCGGCTACCATCGACCGAACATGAGAGCAACTCCGCGAAAATATCGTGAGATACCCCAAAAACCCTTTGCTGTTAAACTTTTCTTCTTGTTTGTTTCGTGAGTGAATACGACCCTCGGTGTTAAAGGATTATGTGTATGGTGCAGGTGACAATTACTATTATTAACGATTATTATTTATAGCGATGGTGAAATTATAGACGAATTACACCAAGGGATAGGGCGTACTAAAAACTATTAGCGGATATGAAGAATCGCGGTTTGTGTAATGGAATATGTTTAGTAATCGTTATTTTTGTGGTTTTATTGCAAACCTCAAACCCCCGTAAGTATTTCATTATTTAGAATCATTAATTTATTTTAATTTTAACTACATAACAATTAGTTAATTTTTGAAAGCAGAACCTTCTACTTTACGTATGTTTTGTTTTTTCGTTTTTTTTTTTTAAAGATTCAGTAGGTAACTTTCTTCTTTAAATTCTTTTCATTCAACTTCCTCGAAATTTGATTAATTAAGACGTCTTTTATGTAAGATTAATTCTGAAGAAGTAACACAGCGTTTCACTTATTATTGTTGTAGATGTCTCTGATTGATAGAAAAAATGCAAACCAATAATTGTTACGGCAAATTAATTTGTTTTAAGAAGGTTTCGTCAATTATAAACCTGCAATTGCTTCATGTTGTTAGCAACCGCATTTTTTAAATGTCGATAAAATCGGTTAATGATTTTGAATGCAAATGATTCGCGATTACAAGATCATCTAAACAAAAAATGTACCTACTTTTTACTACAATGCAAAAATTATTTCTTATTCATTTTTTAGTATGCTTAGATTTGTAGATGATATAGTAGTACTAGAATCTAGCAAGGAGGAGTTAGAGATAGTCTTTAATTAAATGGAAGCGGTATTGACAAAACAGTATTGTTTGGTGATAAATAAAAGTAAAACAAAAATACTGGTATGCAAGGGAAGAAAATGTAGGGAAAGAGCGAATTTAAAGATAGGTGACGAGAAATTAGAAGAAGTGGCTGATTTTAGGTATCTAGGAGGTAAGATAAGTCAGGACAGAAAGAGTAGTAGGAATATAAAGCAGAGGATAGCGCAAGGTAGAATCGCCTTCAATAAAAGGAGTCACTTCTATGCTTGCGAACGGTTAATTTGGAAATTCGAAAAAGATTGTTAAAGGTGTATGTTTGGAGCGCGGTGCCGTACGGGTGCAAAACATGGACGTTGGGTGCGGCGGAAAAGAAAAGGTTAGAAGCGTTCGAAATGTGGTGTTACAGGCGAATAATGAGGATACCGTGGATAGAGAAGGTTAGAAATAGAGGTATTAGAAAGAATAGGAGACAGAGAACTCTATGGAAGTCAATAAAAAATATGCGAGATAGGTTGGTAGGACACCTTCTCAGGCATGAAGGTCTAGTCAGAAACATATAAGCAGCAAAAAGAGGAATTAATAGGAGTATAGGTAAACCTAGACTGGCTGCACTTCAACAAGAATTATTTTAAATTCCATGTTAAAACCCTTTCGTTTTGTGGTTTCAATTACAAATGTTTTTAACGAGTTGTTTTTAGAGATAATAGTAGCTACTATCCTTTTGTTTTATATTAATAGTCACTAAACGACTTGCAAGATTTGTAGAGCAGACATAGTAGACTAACAAAAAGCAATCAGGAAAATAAAAACGTTAATAAAAACAAATACCAACTGGCACATACAAATTATTCAAAAAATACTAACTTCATTAAAATTTATATATTGCTAATATCGAATTAGAAAATGGTTATTATTAAGTTACGTTCGATCGAAGGCTTTGTATGCAAGATACTTCTTTATAGCTAGGTAATGAGAAATTTGAAACTTGACGTATTTGGCTGTACCACTATATATATATACCTATATATGTATGTAACTATTCAATCTTTGGCTTTTGTGAAGTTTCTTTCTAAATATTCGTGTTACGTATTAGTTCTACACTGCATATTTCAAAAACTCGACAAGAAGATTATGTAAATCTCAACAAGAATTGAACCATTCCATGTCTCGTATTATTAAGCGCACCATTATGAATTCGATTTTCACATGATTAATATCTTAAAAAATATAATCGATAAATTGTGCAATTAATTCTCAAAAATTCCTAATAGGCGATCTGGGTGAACTTAATTTTATAAAAATAAGGGTACCAGGTGTTACATCAAATATATCGTATAGTTCACAATTAATATGAACGAACTAGTACAGTATAATGCATAAGTTTTGTATCTAGTTAGACACGAAAAATGTTGTGGTCAATAATAATTATTGTTTCAAAAACTATAAACCTTTGTTAACAATCATCCATGAAGAAATATATTTTCAGGGTCAAGACTATTGTTATTATAATAATTATTATTATTAAACATAAGAAACTGCAAAATCCGATTCTGTAAAAATTTTGTAGATAATTTACAATAACCTTAACAACAAAAAATAAAGGTCATTTTGTTAATTATTTGTCTATCTGCCTGCCCCTCTTTCTACGTAATTACGTTCTATTTTTAGAATTCCCAGAAATTTTATTGGATATTTTCACATGGACTTTTCCCCCCTGAATCTTCGCCCATTTCTTTTTTTATTTATGTATTTCTATTGACACCATTCTGATAAAATCACAATCAATTTCATAACCCAGAATGCCTGCTGTCTTTGCCGCGACGATACCTGGTGATCCACGACGACGAAGGAAACCCCAGCGTCATCGACATCCTGGCACCTCTGCCCCAAGCTAGGACCAGCCGCTCCGATATAACCCTCCACTTTTACTCGCAAGACAACCCAAACGACGCCGAAGATCTTTCCATGGACATGAGCGAAGTTTTCGCTTCGCCCAATTACGACCCGAGTCGTCTTAACGTCTTTATTGTCCACGGATGGGCGAACGACCATTTCAGCGAGGTCAACACGGTGATAAGGGAGGCTTTTATCGACGCCATGGACGTCAACGTGTTTGTGGTAGATTGGGGTGGGCCAGCAGGAGGCTCCTACAGAAACGCAGTAGCCAATGTGCCCAGGGTCGGTACCTTTTTAGGGGAATATATTGGGGAATTACAAGAGATTTTTGGATTGGACCCTGAAGACTTTTTACTAGTCGGGTAAGAGTACGACAGGGTTCGATTTCGGGGAAAATTGGTCTGTATGCTTTCCATAGTTATAGCCTCGGGGCTCATGTTGCCGGAAGGGCCGGTTCCCTCTTGAATGGCAGTGTAGGAACCATTGTAGGACTAGATCCAGCTGGGCCGTTGTATTGGTTTACCGGGCCAAGAAACAGATTGGATCCCACAGACGCCCAATTCGTCCAGGTTATCCACACTAACGACTACATTCTGGGATATGCCGGGAATTTAGGGACCGTCGATATCAGGCCCAACGGAGGTGGTTATCAACCAGGTAAAAAATTCTGTTCGTTATTCCTTTTTTGGGACAAAAGAATTCAAGGATCTTTGGGCATAAAAATTCTGTTTGTGATTCCCTTTTTCGGACAGACAATTCAAGGATTTTTGGGCATGAAAATTCTGTTTGCGATTCCCTTTTGGGGACAGAAAATTCAAGAATCTTTGGGCATAAAAATTCTGTTTGTGATTCCCTTTTTGGGACAAAAAAATTCAAGGATTTTTGGGCATGAAAATTCTGTTTGCGATTCCCTTTTTGGGACAGAAAAGTCAAGGATTTTTGGGCATGAAAATTCTGTTTGCGATTCCCTTTTGGGGACAGAAAATTCAAGGATTTTTGGGCATGAAAATTCTGTTTGCGATTCCCTTTTGGGGACAGAAAATTCAAGAATCTTTGGGCATAAAAATTCTGTTTGTGATTCCCTTTTTGGGACAAAAAAATTCAAGGATTTTTGGGCATGAAAATTCTGTTTGCGATTCCCTTTTTGGGACAGAAAAGTCAAGGATTTTTGGGCATGAAAATTCTGTTTGCGATTCCCTTTT